AATTTTATTGACATCTTTCGGTGATGGTGAACGTGGAATAGTTCCGTTAGATATTCCGCTATTATTGTAATCTTCACTTCGTGTTGCTTCCACGTTTGATCGATCAGATAGAACCGACGATTCATCATTTGAAATGTGATCATTGTAACTCTTATTTCCAAATGTCTCAAAAGCATATTCCAATTCAACGGTTGGCGACATCTTTCTAGTTTTAATTGTATCCAACGCTTCACTAACTTTGTCATGTTTTAAGTCTTTATATACAGCGCGAGTAATAACACGTGTTCTCAATAAAATTGATTTTTCAAGTTTTAAATTATTCGCTGTATCGTTTACAATATTGTTATGTACTACATTCGACTCGTCACTATCGTTCAAAGTTTCTCCTACTACTCTATCTATTGAAATATTTTTGTTGATTGTATCTTCAATCACGTCACCACATTTTGCAAGTTCAGAAACATGTTCAATATTAATAGAATATGGAGTGATATCATTATTTTGAAGAGAATTTTCAGCATTAATCAAATCTAAATCTTTTTCGTTTATAGGTCTTTCGTCAATATTATTTGTTTCGATAGACTTGACAATGTTTTCCTCATCATATTTCTTATTCATTATAGGATTCTTCTTGCTTTCAATTAATGAATTATCTTTGTCAGTATTTAATTGTTGATTTACATTATTTTTTTGTCGAATCGCTAAAGTAGCTATATTTCTTATCGTACAATGTGTAGAATTATTTCTATTGACGCTCAATTGATGAATTGGCATTTTTGGTGTATGTGCAATTCGTACTTTTTTCAGTTCATAATGGTTAGAGCATAATTTATCGTCTGTTTGTTTATTTATAGACTCTGCTTGTATGTCTAAATTTCTTTTCAAATTTTTAATATGATTTAATGAACTGTCGTTAATCTCTTTTTCGTTTTCAATTCGCGGTTTTTTTGCTAATTCAAGATTTTCAAAATTATGATCTGAATATGGTTTAATATTCTCTTGCTTATTTATGCGCGAAATTGGTTGCTTCTTTCTCTTTAAATTTCGTAAATTTTTTAATAAGCGATCGCCAATTTTAGCTTTCTGTATATTTTGGCTTTTTCTCATTACATTATGTTTTTCTACACTAATAACGACATTTTTACTATGAGCAAGATCAGTGGAATTTTCATTGTTAGATAAGGATGTCATTCTAGTTTTTGTCTGGATATCCCTATCAACAGCTTCTATATTATCTTCGCTTAAGATATTATCGCTTGTGTTTATTTGATCAAGCTCATCTTTGTATATATTTTGGCACTTTCTTTTTATTTCAATTTTGTCTGCATTAATATCAATAATTTTACGATTAACAGTAGAATTTTCGTTGTTAGGTAATAATATTGTTTTAGTTTCTGTCTGGTTATCCGTATCAGTAGTTTCTACATTACTTTTGCTTAAAAGATTATCGCTTGCATGTATTTCATCAAACTTATCTTCATTTATATTTTGGTCCTTTGTTTTTATTTTATTTTCTTCTGCATTCACGTCAATAATTTTACTATAAGCATGATAAGTGGAATTTGTATCGTTAGATAAGAATATTGTTCTAGTTTCTATCTGATTATCCGTATCAATAGCTTTTACATTATTTTTGCCGAAAAGATCATCGCTTGCATATATTTCGTTATGCATACTTTGACTCTTTCTTTTCATTTCACTTTCTTTATTAATATCAACAATTTTGCCATTATCAGTAGAATTTTCATTGTTAGATATATTTCTAGTTTCTGTCTGATTCTCTACTTCCATATCAATAGCTTTAATAGAATGATTACTTAAGAAATCATCCTTTGTGTATATTTCGCCAACTTGATTTTTATGTACACTTTGGCCCTTTCTTTCTATTTTATTTTCTTCTGCATTAATGTCGACAATTTTATCATTAGTATAATCAGAAAAAGTTCCATCTTTACATAAAGATATCATTTCAATTTTCTGATTATCCATATCGATATCTTCTATATTATCTTTACTTGAGATATTATCATTTACACATATTTCGCTAGATTTATTTTTATGTATAATTTCATCTTTTCTTTTTATTTTATTTTCCTCTGCATTAATGTCGACAGTTCTGCCATCAACATGATCCAAAGATTTTTTATTGTTAAATAAGAACATTGTTTTAGTTTCAATTTGATTATCTACATCGTTAGCGTCTATATTATCTTTATTTAAGATATCATTGCTTACATATAATTTGTCAACGCTTAAACGTGACATCGTAAAACTATTTTCAACAGGTACTACTTCTACTGAATGCAATGTATTTTGCTTATGAAGAAACTCTTTGTCAATTTCAATGTCATTAAGAGATATGCTGGATATATTTATATTGGAGTATGAATTCTTATGTACACTCGACAATATATTCTTAGATGTATGATTAAATTGTAAAACATCAGTAATATTCGTAGCATTCTCAGTTTTATCACAATATGTACCTCGTACTCGTTCATTTTCATCAAACTTTTCAATTTCCGAAAACATGCTTTTATATGCATTACATGATTGTCTCCTTTTTAGCTCTGTCCTTTTTGAGCAACAAGTACACTTTTCTGAATCTATATCTCGTTCATTTTTAGGACATGCTTCTTTTTTCTCATTGAAATATTCTGCCACACCTTTACAGATTAAAGAAATTAGATTCGAATTTAGCGAGACATCATCCTTATGATTCATAACGCAACAACGAGAATTAGTATTTATTTTTTTCTTCAATCTTCGAAACTTTTTCATTTTACTTTTTAATGATCGAATTTTTCTTTTCATTTTTTTAATAGATATAGAATGTTTAATTAGTAAATCATCAGAGCAGAAATGCTCCCTTGCACAGTTCCTATTTTGAGACAAGGTAGGAATTGCATTGAGATTACTAGGTACTTTGGCTACAAGTGGTATATGTGAAATATCCGTATTTCTTAATTCAACATTTTCGCAAATTTGTGTCGTTGTGGATGATCTTCCCGATTGTGATTTTATATTGCCTGCTATTGAATCACTACATGGACTATAAGGATGTAGATGAGGTATAGGTGATATTTTAGAGAGAGAGTCTTCATTTCTATTTGTAAAATCCGGGTAGGTATCTAAAAATTAAAAATAGATGTAAACATAATAAATATAATAATATAATATAATATAGATATATTATACAGAGTGTCCAGAAAATCGCCCGTAATACTTCGGGAAGTGATTCGACCCAAAAAGAAGGAAAAAAAGCTATATAGGTTTTTCGATATAGCTTTTTACCGGACACCCTGTATACAATAAAAGAATGTATATGATTGACGCATATGACATTGCATTAGTTATTGTTACTTACTAGGTAATGAACATGGCGGCGAATAAATCTTTTTCGGTGAAGGAGGCAAGTCTTTCTCAATTAATTTTGGACATGCGATCATGGTTTTGAATATTTTTTCAGGAGTCAATTCTGAAGGCAAATGAGCTTCACATTTTTCACAAAATAATGGATGTGGATCATTTTTCGTGTGATAAAATTCGTCGGTCATAATATTTTGGTCTCGTACTTCGCATTTTACACTTGGTTCAATATTACACAGTGATACATTAATACCAATATCTGAAGTAGATTTTATACCTATAATGATTCATAATAAATGATTCATAATAAGTATGTAACAATAAAAAAAAATTTGCTTGAAGTTTTATACTTTCTTTTGTACTTACTTATACTTGGCTTAGCCGTATCAACATTTGTAGAAATTTTTTTCTCCTTTTTTTTACCACCTTTTTTTGTCACAGTTGATATATCATCCTTTTTTAACGTTTTTAATTCATGTTCCAATTGTTTAATTTTATCTGTAAACAAAGAATACAAATCTTATTTAGATAAATAATAAACAAATTTAATTTTTGTATATCGAATAATACATACATAAGAAATAACACAGATAATAAAAATAACAGAAATAATACAATATAAGAGATTTAATTTATCGCTACCTTCAAAGGATGACTTGTCCAAATTATGTTCCATAATTTTAGCCGACTGTTCTTCTTCCAATTCTTTTATTTTACATGTTAATTGTTGTATACTCTGTTTATCTGCAGCTATATTTATGTTATAGTCATTCATCTTGTTCGTTAATTTTTCATTATTTTGCTGATATTTTGCAATTTTCTGAAATTTAAAAAATATCGTTATGTATAAAATGTGATAATAATTAAAATAAAGAACAATCCACTTATAAAAAAATCTAATCAAGAATATTCACATCAATGAACAGCCAATATGAGCGAACTAGCATAAACGTATAAAATAAAATTGTATAATTATTCATCAAGATGTAATATTCACATTTTCAACCTCTAATGTAATATTATAGCTAATATTTTCTTAAAAAGAATTTAAAAAAAATAAAAGCTAATATTATAAATAATTACATACTACAAAAATACACACATCTATGCACTGTAAATTTTGTATTGCACTAAAATCTGCACTTGCCAACACATATCGATGATACAAAATATGATTTTTCAGAAAAATAAAAAAGCGTGTCAGTTAATATGCAAAAATAAATGGATTATCTTTTCGACCTAATTGTGATCGAAATTTGCTTATTCACGCAAAGTAAAGATTCACAAAAAGTTGCATTATCTGCATATATCCTAAACATAATTTTGTAAATGTTATCTCTTAATAACCCAGATAGAAAAATCTTAGTAATATGCCAGCAGTTACTCGATTCTAATTTTAGAACAAATTGGACTGTGATCCATTATGTTCTCTTCTCTTTAAACTTGCCCTTATGACTTGCCAGCCAGAATATAATTGAAATATAGCAAAAATAGAGTATATCTTGCCATTATAATGTCGTAATGCTTGCTCATTTTCCGATACATTTCTATCAATATTAATAAACAGTAAACTGAGATTTACATCAATTGTTGCAGTTCTACTAATACAAAATACAAAAGTTTACAATACATACTATTGGCTATATATATTTAGGAAGTTATTACTCTGATTTTATCTGATAAAATATACTTGATAAAACCAAGTATGTTTATCTATAATCCTGTTTTTTCTTTTTTTTAACTCTACATATGCTTGTTGCTCTATGAAAGCATAGTGAATTTTATTAATGTGATTTAATATATTATCACATAAGATTTTCCGAGAGTTAAATCGAATAATCATCAGTGAATACATGATTTCATATCAAAATTGGAATCTAAATTTTAAATAAACAAATTCTTACGTACCACATATGGACAATATTTATGTATCAATTGTTTCATAATTTTTCGTATTTCTAAATATCAGCTTGAAAAATTAAATTTCTTTTACATTTAAGGAAAGCTAAATTATTTTATAAATTTAAGAGTATGTTAATAATAAATTAATCTAAAATAGAATTATTTATTTACACATTTTAACTCCCTTATCTCATCTTTGGCGGACGAATAATCGGATATTATGTGTTTGGCCTCTTTCTTTGCAACTTCCAAACTTGATTTTAAATTTTTAACTTCTTTTATATTTTGAGTATATTGCTTAATTAAAACACTAAAACAGTAAAAATTCCATTAATCTTGCCATGATATTGATAGCATATCAAAATTAATTTAATAAAAAATTAGTCTAATAAAAAAAATAGAAATACTTACTCTGTTTTGCACATTTTCTGTTTCAATAACAATATTGATTCTTTCGCTTTCTTTACTTTATAATCATGTTCCTGAAAATTTTTTGTTAAATCATATCTCAAATGATTAAAAAATATTGACAAAAGCAGAAAAAAATATTAACGCTATTAAATATATGCGCCACTAAATATTCTTTAACCTTTAGCTAATTATTCATAGCTTTGGAAATATACTAAAAAAATATTGACTTTTTTAGATTGAAACCTGATTTGTGTGTGTGTGTGTATGCATCAACTTTAATTTGACTTTAAGAAATTCAAAACTCTCACTTTCTCTTTTTGAAGCCGAAGAGAGGGAGAGTTTTAAGCCTCGCTTAAAGTCAAAGCAACATTGGTACAATTACGCCTTAGAACAAATGTTTGCATAATATTGAATTTCATCTTATTTATAGATATCTTATTTATAGTATACAGGATATTTTTTAAATAGCAGATACTAATCATATAGCGTTATTCCTAATTAAAAATGGAGTCGAAAAGTTCTCTACAATTTTGCAATTTTTGCAATAATTGACGAAATATTAATTTATAATAAATTAATAATTAATAATTAATTGTGTTACAATTTAAAATGTGTTTGACTCTTACTTTGCCCTTTATTTATTGTTATTTATTAATTTATAAATATTGTTGAATAAGCGCGTATCCGGCTGCTCAACCATTAACTATCACAAAAATTGCAAAATGATAGAAAACTTTTCGATTCAATTTTTAATAACTTTTAATCAGGAATAGTGCTGTATGATTAGTGTCCGCTATTTAAGAAATCCTATGTATCTTACTAAAACAAATACTAAAATATAAAATGTATAAAATATATAAAATATAAAATATATTATAAAAATTATTTAAGAAATGCAATTTAAATTTCATCGTCAAATATAACCATGCTTATCTTTCTAAGATTAAACCTTACAGTATATGTGAATGTTTTAGATTATTTTAGAAAATATATAATTGTATTTTGTATAAAACAAAAGACATAAAAAATACATCCAATAATCATATAATTGCTTGATTTTTTTCAGCAGTCAATTATTTCTACTGAAACATTTGCATTCTAAATAAGATTAAAGATTTGTCTTTTATTTCTGATTTGCCATAGAACTTTCCTCTTTGTTTTCATCAAATTTCGTAGATATTTATTTCGTTTTATTAACAGAAAATATTAGCTATAAAAACAGATATTGAAGAGAAAAAGAAAAAAGATAAAAAATACACAATTAATATTCAATTATAAAAAGCAAATTCACAGGAAGACAAAATGATCTTGGTACCGGCATGTCGGCGTGATCGCGAATTTTCCGGCGGTTTAAAAATTCCAAGAGCATATATACATTGCGAATATATATACTTAACGAATTTTCATATATGTTTGATACAATTCAGGCCAAGAAGAATCTTCTTTAAATGTCAAGAAGTGTTTTGTTATGTATGTAGAATTAATTTAATACTATAATTTAACCTAACTTAACCTCACATTTCCATAAACATGCATCCTCGCGCAATTAAATAGCTTAAAAATGCATCCTGTTTAATACTTACGATACTGTCTATGATATTATGAAAATTCAAGCTATCATTATCCATATTATAACCGGTAATACTGATTTAAGAAAATTAGTTGGTTCCTGCACGTTTTACTCCAGCAAGTATGTACCGAAACTTTTCCCGCTGTCAATTTTCGAACATTGTATTCACGAAAACTGTAGGTCTGTTCTTTATTCCTGCATTACCTAAACTGGTGCACCTGGTGCAATAAGTTGAAGTGGGATAGTGCTGTCCAAAATTCGATTATAACTACATCGATCATTTTTATGTTTAATGTTGCATCAAATTCTATATTAGAAATGTTATATTTCCTAATTATGTTTCTAGTCGCACTGAATAAATTACTCACTTTTAGTATCTAGTTTTTTTAATATTAATGATAAAATTTTTGTTTATTCTATGATTTATA